CGGGGCGGAGCGGCAGAGGGGCGGAGGGAGCGCGGGGCGCGGGCCCGGAGACCCTCGCCGAAACCCCGTTCGGAGCGCGCCTTCCTGCCCGAGTCCCGCGGCGGACGCGGGGCCGGACGCGCTGGGGCCGGGAAGGGAGCGCGGGGCCCTCGCGTGGCCCGGGGCCGGAGCCAGGGGCCCGGGCTGGACTGCTCAGGGAGCACTCGGGGAGGGAGGGCTCTCCAGGCCCAGATCTGGTTCCTCAGGGCTCCGGGTGCGCCGCTGCTGCCCGGGGAACAGCGTTTCTCTCCAGCCCTGCGTTCCGGCACGGATGGAGGTGTGGGACCCAGATCTGGGAGGGAGACTGGGCACCGAGCCCTCGGACACCACCGCATCTTAAGCTTGTGTACTCGGGGCAGCCACAGTGGAAGGCCGACAGAGGCCACTTGCAAGGCACCTGGCAGGTGCTTATCCCTGTCCGGGGTTGGCTGATGGTGAGGGGGACACAGCTGGCCAAGTTCACCCCCTTGGTGATTGACGCCTTATACACTGAGCCGCAGGGCCTACGTGCCGCTGCGTCACTCTGCTTAGGGAGAAAGAGCACCTGTGTCTGGGGAAAAGCCCTGCGGTGGGAGTGTGACTGTGAGCACATGGGGGTGTGTGTGGGATGAGGGATTGCCAGCGGGGGTGTGTGTGCAAAGACCATTTTTCAAGGCAGTAGGTGTGAGTTTGTGCAAAGGAGCGTGTGTGTGACCTGGTGTGTATGAGGAAGTGGGTGGGTGTGAGTGCAGGTCTGAGTGTTGCAAGGGAGTGTGCAAGGCAGCATTGCAGGTGCTGTGCAAGGAAGTATGTACCGCTGTGAGCACATTCAGGGGAGTGTAGAGGTGTGAGGGATTGTGGGTGTGAGAATGTACATATGTGAAGGTGTGGACAGTGCCGGTGTGAGTACGTGCAAGGCCGCATGCCGGGGGAGCGGATGGCAGTGTGCACAGGTGACAGCCAGGGAGCGACTGTGGTCCCAGTCCAGGGTGGACCCTTCCCCAAGACACTGCAGGAAAGCCTGTCCTGAGGATCTCATCTGGAGGGGGTGGGCCCAGGACAGGGAGGCTCTGTCTGGGTGGTGGGCCAGTAAGCTTTGGAATGAGGGTGGGTGGGACCTGAAGCCCAGGCCACATTCTAGCCTGGTGTCCTTGTAGCTTGGTGGTTGGGCTGGTAACCGGATGTAACCAGGATGTCCCTGTGAGGCCTGCCCCCTCCGCACCGGACACTGAGATGATCCCATCCGGCTCAGGGCTCAGCCATGGCCTCTGAAGCTCCCTCTGTCCACCCACCGGCACCACCCCAGGCACCTCTCGGGAGGCTTCCTCTGTTCCCGCCCAGGCTTCTGGCTCTGGGCCCAGAGCACCTGGAGACCCTCTTGGGAAGCTGGAGCCTCCAGGGAAGGTGCTCCTCACCCACCTGTCCCCACACTCAGCAGTGTGGCTGTCCTGCTCACTGACCCTCCTTTCCAGAGTGCCTGGTGGGAAGAGAGCAAGGAGGCCACAGAGATGGAAGTCAGAACTTCAGAGCTGGAGCCCAGTGACTCCAATCTGTCTGTGGGGCCACGGACCCTCGAGAATCTAATGAAAGCTATGAAGTGTTTAAAACAAGTGTGTGTCCATACAACTTAAAAGTCTTTAGGGTGCCCCTGAGTCCCCCACATGTGTTCTTGGCAGGGAAACCGAGGCAGTGTCTGGCCATGGCCTGGCAAACACCCCTCCCCTCTGTCTTAGACACACACACACTCCCCAAAGGGCAGGAAGGAGCTGCCTCCAGTGTGAGAATCTCTGGGGGCGGGTTTGAGCAGGTCCAATCCAGTTCCTGGCAGATGGTGCCAGGGGTGTGAGGCTGCCATAAAGCCTCCCAGCCCAGGGACCCAGCTCAGTGCCCATCTCAGGCTGAAACAGCTGGGTGTGCAGGCTAGCATAGCGGCATTGCCTCTCCTGAGGCCCAAGCCTCATGTCCCCCACTCGTCCTCAGAGAGCAGGGGGCGCTATGCTGCTCCCGGCCCTGCTCTTCACGCTGGCCTGGACACGGGCCGGCGGGTAAGCACCCACCCCAGGCCCTCCAGCCGCCGACCAGGGCTCCTCGCTGGAGCAGCCAGATGCCCTCCCAAAGTCAGCCCCTCCTTAGTTGGGTAGCACCTCCTGGGATGGGGACCCAGATGGGAAGGTAGGACAGCTGGCAGCCGTCCCCACAGGCGCTGGTGTGAGAGGACAGAGACCATCTGGGTGGAGGAGTTGGTGTCACCCCTCCAGGAGGAGCTGGTGCCCTGCATCAGCCTCTACCACTACTTCCAGCCTGGTTGGCGCCTGGGCCCACCCCCGAGGGCCCACGCTACACTCACCTCTGACCCCAGGCTCTGCCCCATCTAGAGGTGAGTGGGGGGGGCAGACCCTGGGCTGCCTGAGGGAAGGAGGGGAGAGGACAGTGCCCTGAAGGTGGTGGATAGGGAAGGGGCATCACCTGGTGTGGGGCCCAGAGCAGGCGTTGGGGTGCTGCTCCCTGGTCTGTGAAGGATGAGAGGAACCATGGACTGCCCAGAAGGCAATGCAGGAGGCCCTAGAGCATCCTGTCAAGACTTCCTTAGCAGACCAGGAATCAGAGCCAAAGCAGGACCAAACTGCACAGCCTTCCCTGTGGCTTCTGGCAACACTAACGTGTCCTCTCGCTCTGCCTGCTCCGTGGCCCAGGCCCCCAGAAACACGGCCCGCCTTCCGGACCCGCACCGTGAGGACTTGCTGCCCAGGCTGGGGTGGTGCCCACTGTTCCCTGGGTAAGCCTCATCTGTGGGGTCCTGGGTGATGGGTTTCTTGGAGGCTCTGTCCTTCATCTGCCCAATGCCTGGGCCATCAATCGCCTCTCCTACAGCCACCAAAGCTCTTGAAGGAGCCAGCCCCAAGGGCCACTGCTTTGCCACAAGGCAGTGCCAGCCAAGAGCAGGTTTGACCCATGCTCCGGCAGAAAGCCTGGAGGAGTGCTGCACCCGGGCCTGGGGGCACAGTTGGCGGGACGACAGCTCCCAGGCCTGTGTCCCCTGCTCTGGCCAGTCCTCCTCAGGTGAGTGCAGACCCTGTGCCCACTCCCCCTACTCCCAGTCCTTCCAGGGTGTCTGCTCAGTCCCCCACCTACTGAGGGGCCCCTCTTGTATCTACTCGAGAGTGGCTTGGTGCTCCCCACAGTAAGATGCTCACAGCGGTGCCCCTCCTCAGGCAGCGCCCCTACCCTGGCCCCTCTGCAGCCACTGGCAGGGGCCGTGGGCCAGCTCTGGAGCCGTCACCAACGTCCCTCAGCCACCTGTGCCACCCGGTCTGGCTTCCACTATCGAACCTTTGACGGGCGTCACTTCCATTTCCTGGGCCGCTGCGGCTACCTCCAGCTGGGCTGTCCACCGGCTGCCCAGGGAGCACTGCCCCCAGCCTGGGCACTGCCAGCTGGTGAGGGAAGGAGGGTAGGCAGATGGGGGAGCTAGGCGTGGAGAGGGATGGTGCTGACCCCTCCCTATGCGTCTCTTGAGGTCCGGGTGACAATGGGGCTGGATGAGGCACTGATCCAGGGTCCTAACGTCTCTGTGAATGGGGTACCTGTCCTTAACAAGGAACCCTGGCTGCTCCGTGGTAAGAGCGTGGAGGGGGGGTGGCCGAGGGTGGCTCGGGACAGAGGCCACTGCCCCTTACCATCTGTCTTACCGTGTGACTGGGCAAGACCTTCTGCCCAACCTCTCTGAGCCTCAGTTTCCCCGCTGCCCCTCCAGTGAAGTCCTTTGCTTCATGGGGTGTTTTGAGGAAGCACCTTTTATGGGTGGGAAGGCTCCATCCGGTCCCATAGCAATCTTCCTGGTTGGGACCCAATGGGGTGAGTTGGGGTCAACAGGTGCGTGTCCATGTGGAAATTATGTGTGAGTGTGTGAGGGCATGTGAGGTGTTGCGTGTGTGAGGTGTGTGTGTGTGGCATGTGTGTGAAGTGTATGAGTGTGTGCAAGTGTGTGTGAAGTTGTGTGGTGTGAGCATGTGTGAGTGCATGTGATGTTGTATTATGTGTGTGTATGTGTGAGTGCATATGTGTATGATATTGCCTGTCGTGTGTGTGTGAGGTGTATTTGAGGGTGTAAATGTGTGAAGTGTGTGCGGTAGTGTGTGTGATGGATGAGGGTATATGAGGTGTGTGTGAAGGTGTGAGTGTGTGTATGAGGGTGTGTGTTATGTCTACTTGTGAGTGCATGTGTGTGGTTGTGGTGTGTTTGAAGTTGAGAGTGTGTGAGGGTATGTGTGTGCGCATTGAGTGTGTGAGGTGGTGTGTGTGATGAGGGGTATGTGTGTGCAGTGTGTGAGGTAGTATGTGTGATGAGGGGTATGTGTGTGCGGTGTCTGTGAAGTGTGTGAGGATCTGTGTGTTGTGTGTGAGTGCATGTGTGTGGTTGTCTGGTGCGTGTGAACTTGTGTGTGAGGGTGTGTGTGTGCATGTGTTGAATGTGAGGTGCTATGTGTGATGTGTGTGTGAGGTTTTATGTGTGAGGTGTGGGGGCATATATGCGAGTGTGGGGTGTGTGTTTGTGTACATGTGAATGCATGTGTGTGATGTGTGTGTATGAAGTTGTAAGGGTGTAAATGTGTGGGAGGGTGTGAGCATGTGTTGAGTGTGTGTGAGGTAGTATTGTGATGTGTGGGGCTGTGTATGTGAGTGTGTTTGGGTTATATGTGAGGTGTGTGTGAGGGTGTGAGTGTGTGTTGTGTGTGAGATTGCATGTGTGTGAATGTGTGTATGTGAAGTATTTGAAGTGTGTGTGTGTGAGCTATGTGGGGGGTGTGTGTGTGTGAAGGTATGTGTCGTAGTTTACTTGTGTCTCACTCTCTCATAAGACTCTGCAGTTTCCACGAATTTCTAAGAGAGCAGTGAGGGACAGTGGTCTGTTTTAGCCTAAGGGGCTGAGAATATTAGGGTTGTGGGCATTCATTTCCTTCTCTCTCCCCTGGTGGGATGGGATGGGATCCGATGGGAGTGGCCTACAAGATGCGAGGCTCCCTCCTTGCAGGAATGAGTCTGCAGTGGCAGGGGGACTGGCTGGTGCTGTCAGGGGACCTGGGGGCCATCATGAGGCTGGATGGGGCTGGCTCCGTGTCCATCTCCCTGGACTCTGGGCTCTGGGGGCAGACTCGAGGCCTGTGTGGGCTCTACAATGACCAGCCTGAGGGTAAGTGTGGTGTGGGTGGGGCTGGCCTGGAAAGCCTAGTACACGGACCCAAGACTCAGCCTTGTCTCAATACCCATTCTCAGATGACTTTTTGGAGCCGAGTGGGGGGCTGGCTGCATTAGCTGCCACCTTTGGGAATTCCTGGAGGCTCCCGGACTCTGAGGTGAGACCAAGCCTTATCTGATTATTGGCCCCAGAATCCTGGCTCCCCTGGGTTCACCCAGACAGGCCGCTGCCAACCCTTGGGAGAGAGGCAGGGTCTCTAACTGCTGCTATGAATTGAGGGAGGGCTAATGCGAGGATTGTCTAATTCCTGATGTGGGCTAACTGGGACCTTCTGACCACCCCTCCATGGCCACTTTGCTGCCTTCCTCACCTGGGGTGTCTGGGAAGCCCCTGAGAGGGATGTGAGGGTGGTTTGTCTGTTTGGCGCCCTGGTGGGTTCCCCCACCCTGCCCCTGGTGCCTGCCCTGATTGTCCCCATCCTGGGTGCATGGATGCGTCAGAGGCTGCAGCGGGCTGCGAAGGGCCCCTGGGAGGCATGGAGGAAGTGGCCCAGCTGCGGGCTGAGGCCCAGGATGTGTGCCACCCTCTGCTGGGCAGTCCATTCAGGGAGTGCCACATCCAGGTAGGGGCAGGCGGGCAGGGGGCCGTGGGGTGGGAGGCCCCATCCCACCAATGCTGCCTGTGACTTGGTCACACCGTCCCCTGGAGGGAAACAGTGACAGGTCCCAGGGCAGCAGAGCCAAGAAGGCTGGGAGGGATGCACCCTCTTGCTCCGCCAGGTGGCCCCCACTGGATACCATGAGGCTAGTCTCTTCGCCTACTCCTTGGAGGCAGCAGGTGGCAGGCAGGCAGGGCGGCAGGAGGCTGTGTGTGCCACCCTGTCCAGCTATGCCCGGCACTGTGCCCGAGAAGGCATACACATCTCCTGGAGGGGCCCCGACTTCTGTGGTGAGGCCCAGCCCCTGTCCAACCCCCACGCCCACCTCCTGAGGGCCTGGCCACCTCGAGTGCCCTCCCTGCGCCCCCATCCTCTCAGGCTGGTGGCCCCAGGAGGAGGCGGGTGAAGGTGGACACAGGTGGGCATAGGTGAGTAGAGGTGGGAGGAGACAGCAGAGATGTGCACAGGTGAACAGAAGTGGCTAGAAGTGGGAGGAAGTAGGTGCCAGGAAACATAGGTGGGTGGAGGTAGAAGCTGGGCGGAGGTGGTGATCTCATGTCCCCCCACCTGCCCACAGAGCGCCTGTGCCCCGGGGGCCAGCTCTACTCAGACTGTGTGTCGTCCTGCCCGCCCAGCTGCTCAGCAGTGGGCGAGGGCGGGAACGGGTCCTGCCGGGAGGAGTGTGTGAGCGGCTGCGAGTGCCCCGCTGGCCTGTACTGGGACGGCACCCTCTGTGTGCCTCCCGCCCGATGCCCCTGCTACCACCGGCGCCGGCGCTACACTCCAGGGGACATCGTGCACCAATTGTGCAACCCCTGGTGGGTCCCAGGCCTGGCCCACTCTGGGCTGAGGGGGCCATGGCTCCCCGCCTCAAACTGCCCCCTCACCGGGGGCCTCCCTCACAAGTGATCTTTGAGCTCCCCAGGCCTACAGGATGGCCTTGGTGGCCTCCAGCAGCTGACGTTCAGCCCTTACGGTGTGGCCTGGTGGAGCAGGGACAAGGCTGAAGGGTGGGTGGGGTGGCACTGGGCTGGCATCTCCAACTGTGTGTTTCCTTGCAGCGTGTGTCAGGATGGGCGATGGCACTGCGCCCAGGCCCCATGCCCGGCTGAGTGCGCCGTGGGCGCGGATGGACACTATCTCACCTTTGATGGGCGGAGCTTCTCCTTCCAGGGCCACAGAGGCTGCCGCTATGGGCTGGTGCAGGTGGGCCAAGGGCAGGTTGGGTGTGGGAGAGTGTGGCTAGGGAAGGGTGGCACCCCACAGAGCAAGGCTCATGGCCATCCTCTGTCTGGGCCACCGCACACCTCTCCGTCCCTGCCCCACCCCCTCACCCGTTCTTCCTGTCTGCCCAGGATGTGAAGGGGCACCTCCTGCTGGAGCTGGAGCACGGGGCCTGTGAGTCCGGCAGCTGCCTCCGTGCCATCTCGGCCTCGCTGGGAGGGGCCCACATCCAGCTCAGGGACTCAGGTATCCTGGCTCTGCCTCCCCACATATCTACCGGGCTCCTGCCACCAGCTGTCAGGTCCCAGGAGTGTGGCTTGGGCCCCAGCCGCCTCGGGCACCGTCCCTTCGCCAGCCGCGTCCCCACCCTCCTGTGTTTCTGAGCTGAAGCTCAGACCCCTCCACACACAGCTCACCTCGGTTCCCGCCTATTTCTGAAGCAGACCTCAGTCCTGTGGGTAGTCTGAGAGGGGAAAGCAGGTTACCATCATGAGAGGTGCTAGGTGCTTCACAGCACATAGTTGCCCCATCTCCCTCACCCTGGTCCTGCTGCTGGCTCCCCTGTTTTTGGACTGCAGAGGGGAAGGCAGACGCAAAACAGGTGTGGAAGTGGTCTTGCTGCGGGGTCCCCGTGGGGACCTCCTGTTCCAGGCGCTGTCCTGGTGGATGGGCAGGAGGTGGCTATACCCTGGCACGGTGCTGGGGGCCTCAGGGTCTCCAGGGCCTCCTCGAACTTCCTACTGCTGCGCGGGCTGGGGGCCCAAGTCCTCTGGGGGGTGTCCGATCCAGCGGCCTACATCACGCTGGAGCCCCACTATGCCCTCCAGGTATGCTGGGAGGGGTGAGTGTTGGTCAGCCTGGGGGCTGGGTCAGGCTGCCACCTGTGCCAGACACAAGGTCTATGTGGCACCTTCACCTGGAACCAGCAGGACGACTTCTTGACCCCTGCTGGAGACGTGGAGACCAACATTGCTGCCTTCACCAGCAAGTTCCAGGTGGCAGGCGTGGAGAGGTGTCCCCCAGTGGACGCAGCCCTGCCGCACCCCTGCAGCATCCACACACAGCGCCGCCCCTTCGCAGAGGCAGCCTGTGCTGTCCTGCACAGCCCAGCCTTCCAGGTAGCAGGGTGGGACTCCTGTGACGGGGCACCTTCCCTGCCCCACCCACCTTCTCCATCACCCAGTCACCCAGGGCGGGGTGGTGGTGGCCACAGGAGCAGGGTCTGTGGAGGGGTACAGACACATTTCCCGGCCCCAGGAATGCCACAGGCTGGTGGACAGGGAGCCATACTGGCTGCGTTGCCTCGCGACTGTGTGCAGCTGTGCTCCCGGTGGGGACTGCCTGTGCCCCCTGCTCTCAGCCTATGCTCGCAGATGTGCCCTGGAGGGCGCCCCACAGGCCTGGAGGAGCCAGACCCTCTGCCGTGAGTGCTTCCCGGCCCCTCCGCAGCCCCTTCCCCTGCCTTTTAGCGGAGTCTCTGCAGGATCTGGCTCATGTGGATTTCATGCTGCCCTCCTGAAGGGGGGGTACCCAACGTTGAAGAGGTGGCCGTACCATGCCCTGACCTGCCTGTGTCCCCTGTCCAGCTGTCACGTGTCCTGGTGGCCAGGAGCACCAGGAGTGTGCCCCAGCATGTGGCCGAAACTGCGGGGAGCCCGAAGACTCTGCAGGGCTGGGTGGCTGTGTGTCTGGGTGTAACTGCCCACCAGGGCTACTGTGGGACCCCGCGGGCCAGTGTGTTCCCCCCAGCCTGTGCCCCTGCCAGCTTGGAGCCCACCGCTATGCCCCTGGCAGCACCACCATGAAGGACTGCAGCCACTGGTGAGGGTCCTGGCCTCCTGGTGGGGGGAAGAAGTGGGATAAAGGAGGGCTGCAAGGAAGAGGGCCAGCTGTGTCACCCTGGGGCCCTGGTGTGAGCTCGGGGATGACAGTCATGCTTCCATACACACTACTGAGACATGGTGAAGTGGGGAGTAGAAGCATCACCTCACTCTACAGAGCAGGAAACTTAGTGACAAGGGGATGAGCCACAGCCTGGAGACCCCACTGATGGGGCCTAGGCTCTGCCGAGGGCTTCACAGACCACAGCCTGGAGTGCGTGAGGGCTGTGGTGAAGGCCCTTTGCTGGGCTGGGCGTGGGGTGTTGGACACCTCCACCCACTCCTAGAGCTGCAAGAGGACCCTTAGGGGCCGAGGAGGGAAGGGGGACCCATCAGGGCTGGACTGCACTTGGGGTCAGGGGACCTGGTCACTCAGGCCTCGGAGGCGCCCTTCCATTAAACCAGACCCTGGCCCCTCCCCCTCCTCCTCCCCAGCACCTGCCAGGAAAGAGGTCTCTGGAACTGCACATCTGGAAGCTGCCCCTCACAACAAGCATTCTGTCCCCGTGGGCTTGTTCACATCCCCGGCGCCTGCCTGCTCACCTGTGACAGCCCCGGTGCCAACCACACCTGCCCTATGGGCAGCAACCAGGGCTGCGTCTGCCCCCCTGGCACAGTGCTACTGGTGAGGCTGCAGAGGGGCCCCATGGGGCCGCCCCCAGCCCCTGCCTGACAGCCTCTGCAGCTCTTCCTCCCCCATCTCCACCCAGGATGAACGATGTGTACCCACTGAGCACTGCCCCTGCCACCATGGTGGGCGGTGGTACCCACCCAATGCCACCATCCAGGAAGACTGCAACATCTGGTATGCCCTGTGTCCTACAGCTCTGTGACCTGTGACCCCGGCTCCCAAAATCTCATTCTCCTGAATCCTGTCTTTCCCCTGGAAGAGGCTCAAGGGATAGGGGCATCCAGCAGGGCCAGGGAGAGTGCTGGAGCCCTGGGTGGGCCAGCAGGGCCCCTCAGGATCCGGGATACAACCTTGGCCTGCTTTGCTGACACTGCCCCCCTCCCTCCCTGCTTGCAGCGTGTGCCAGGGCCAGAGATGGCACTGCACGGGGCATCGGTGTGGGGGACGCTGCCAGGCCTCAGGCGCCCCTCACTATGTGACATTCGATGGGCTGGCGTTGACCTTTCCTGGGGCCTGCGAGTACCTGCTTGTGCGGGAGGTCACTGGCCGGTTCTCTGTGTCGGCCCAGAATCTGCCCTGTGGGGCTAGTGGCCTCACCTGCACCAAGGCTCTGAGCCTACAGCTGGAGGGCACCGTCGTGCACTTGCTCCGAGGTGGCTGTGGTGCAGGGGGTGGGGGTGGGGTGTCAGGACCGGGCCTTAGGGACCCTAATTCTAGTGGCCTCAAAGTGCTGAGCCTACAGATGGAGGGTACCGCTGTGCACGTGCTCCCAGGTGGCCATGGTGCTGGAGGGGGGCATGACTAGGCCTTGGGGACCCTGATTTTGGAAGATTCCAAGAATCAAGGTCCCAGGGGGCCACAGGTCAAGAAGCAAAGGAAAGGCCCAACAGGCTGGCGAGAGCCTTGGGGGTCTGGGCAAACCACCTACCCTTGACGCCACCTCCTCCTCTGCAGGTCGGGCTGTGATGGTGAACGGGGTGCCCATCTCACCCCCCAAAGTTTACACAGGGCCCGGACTGAGCCTGCACCATGCTGGCCTCTTTCTGGTGCTCAGTACGCGATTAGGCCTCAGCCCGCTCTGGGATGGAGGTCAGGCCCCACCCCAAACCTGTGGACTCTCACCCTGCTCCAGCACCCTGGGCTAGAGCCAAGGCCTTACTGCCAGCACCTGGCCGTCTGTCTCCTGGTAGCCTCAGTGCCACATGGGGATCCCAAGGCTGGCCAAGACCCAGACCCCGCCTCTTCTCCCACCTCTGTCCTGGCTCCCCGGCCCTCACAATCACACAAATAGCTGGAGTTCCCAAATTGTGTTTTTCAATGGTCCTTGTTTTCCTTCATTGTGAGAACAATACCTGCTTACCAAAGAAACATTTAGAAAATACCACGTTTGAGAGGGAAGTGAAACATACGATGGCCTACCACCCAAACGCAGCGGTTAGAATTCTGGAAAAAACGGACATAAATTGAGAGCGCTGGTAGAAGCTCCATAAGGGCGGAGTGCTGGGAGGCCCGGAGCTGGCTGCCTGTGGGAATCTGGCCGCCTGGCTCTAGGAAAGAAGGCACCCACTTCTCCCCTCACCCCCAAAACCCCAGTCTCATCACCCTGATGCCCTGGAAAAGAGCGGGGTGCAGCACCAGACACGATCACCCAGCCCAGCCTGGAGGAGGCTCGAGGCCACTTCCCCCAACGGCCTGCCGCCCTCCCCAAGGCACCCGGGTGCTGGTGCACCTGCCACCCCAGTTTCGAGGTCGCGTGGCAGGGGTGTGTGGAGACTTCGATGGAGACGCTAGCAATGACCGGAGGAGTCGTCAGGGAGTCCTGGAGCCCACAGCGGAGCTGGCCGCCCATTCCTGGCGTCTCCAGGCCCTGTGCCCCGAGCCCGGGGACCTGCCGCACCCCTGCACCGTGAGGGACACGGGAAGGGGGCCAGGGGCTGGGCGTCTGGCTGTCCACAGAAGCCTAGGAACAGCTGTGCCCCACGTCCTGCAGGTGAACGCTCACCGGGCCAGCTGGGCCCGGGCCCGCTGCGGGGTGCTGCTACAGGCTCTCTTCGCCTCGTGCCACGCGGAGGTGCCCCCACAGACGCACTACGAGCGCTGCGTGTACGACGCCTGCGGGTGAGCATGGAGCCCGCAGCGGCTGGAACGGGGCGGGGCCGAGCGGAATCCGGGAGGCGGGGCCTGGTGGGTGGAGCGGGTGTGGGGCTTGGTCCAGGCGTTGGAGCTGGATGGGGGCGGGCTCTTGGGCGGTGCTGGATGGGTGGGCGGGGCAGGCCTGGGCTAGGCTACCGGAGCTAAGCGCCCTTCCCCGCAGCTGCGACTCTGGGGGCGACTGTGAGTGTCTCTGCTCAGCCATTGCCACCTATGCGGATGAGTGCGCTCGGCACGGACACCGCTTGCGCTGGCGCAGCCAGGAGCTCTGCCGTGAGTGTCGCCGACCTGCTCAGCTCCGGGAGCACTTGGCCACGTGCGCGCCACGTGCCATACGATCTAGACGAGCAAAACGCCCTTGTTGAATTTGAGGGGGGTTTCAGGGGCAGTCTGCTCCAAGTACGCCTGCTGCATGGTCTGCAAGGACGTCACCTCATGCTGGTTCCCTGGTTCCTTGAGCCTCTGTGACCCAGGCCTGTCTCCCCCTAGCCCTGCAGTGCGAAGGGGGCCAGCTGTATGACGCCTGTGGCCCCACGTGTCCCCCCACCTGCCGTGACCAGGCTCCTGAACCCGGGTGGCAGTGCCAAGTGGCCGCCTGCCTGGAGGGCTGCTTCTGCCCCGAGGGGACTCTGCTGCATGGTGTGGAGATGTGAAGGGGCGAAGGGGGGGCGGCTCAGGAGGGAGGGGCCCAGGCCACTGTGCCAGGCTGGGGTGGTCCTGCACAGTTTTGCTTTGAGCCCTGTCCTCCGCGGCCGCAGGGAGCACCTGCCTGGAGCCTGCCTCCTGCCCCTGCGAGTGGGAAGGCCACTTCTTCCCGCCCGGCGCCGTGCTGCAGAAGCAATGCGGGAACTGGTGAGTGGGCGCCTCGGGAGGGGCTCTGTGCTCTTGGCTCCCCTCAGTGCTGACCTCCAAACACCATGTGCCCAGCACGTGCCAGGACGGTCGGTGGTCCTGCGGGGGTGGCAGTCCCTACTGTGAGGAGCCCGTGCCTGGCTGTGCGGAAGGAGAGGTCCCATGCCAGGAGAGTGCGCACTGTGTACCCCACGGATGGCTCTGTGACAACCAAAACGACTGTGCGGACGGCTCAGATGAGGAGGGTGCGCGAGTTTGTTGGGGTGGAAGCGTTTGTCCCTGAGAGGCTCACCGAAGCCGCCCCTTCCCCGGAGTCAGGATTTGTGGCGGTGGGTGGATAAGTGAGTGTTGTGGGGCGTCTCTGGAACCCCGAGTCATCGCTCTGAGTCGGCCTGCTTGTCCCATGCCAGGCTGTGCCACTCCAGGCTGCGAGGAGGGGCAGTTCTCCTGCGGCTCTGGCAGGTGCCTGCCTGGGGCACTGCGCTGTGACCGGCAGGAAGACTGTGCCGATGGCTCAGATGAACATGGCTGCCCATGCCCCCCGGACTCGCTGGCCTGTGCTGATGGGCAGTGCCTACCCTGGGCACTGCTCTGTGATGGGCACCCCGACTGTCCGGACGCCGCTGACGAGGACTCGTGTCCAGGTATGTGTCACTGCTCTGGTTCCAGCCCATCCGCCGCGTTGGCCTCCTTGCCCTGCCAGAAGCCCCCCGTGTGAGTGGGTTCCCACAGGGTACCCCGACAGCGGCTCCTCCGTGGCCGCAGGGCAGCCGAGTTGCACCTCCGGGGAGGTGCCCTGCGGGGACGACAGCTGCGTGGGTGCTTTCCAACTGTGTGACGGGGTCTGGGACTGCCCGGACGGAGCGGACGAAGGGCCGGGGCACTGCCCCCTGCCCGCTCTGCCCACGGCCCCCGCTGACTCCCTGGAGACTGAGCCGACTGCCCCTCGCAGTGTTGGTGGACTTGGTGAGTGTCCTGCAAGGCGTGAGGCCGGAGGACTGAGCGCGAGGACGGGACCGCGCTCGGGAGGGCGGCGCTCGGGGCTGGGACAGAGGACGAACGAATGGAGGGCCTAAGTGGCGGGGTCACGGGCGTTCCTGGGCGAGGGAGGAGCCTCTGGAGGACGGACAGGGCAACGAAGTGCAGGAGCGGCGGGGTCAGGAGGGTGCCCGGGCGCGGAGGCCAGCGGGACCCAGAAGCTGTGGTGGGGACGGGACCCCCGAGCCCCGCAGGCCCCGCGCAGGGCCTGAGCGAGGTCCGCTACAGCACCGCCCTGCAGCCTGGTCGAGTTTGCCTGCGGAAGCGGGGAGTGCGTCCCGCGGGGTTGGCGCTGTGACCAAGACGAGGACTGTGAGGATGGCAGCGACCAGCGCGGTTGCGGTGAGCGCCCGCTCGCCCCCCCCCCCCCCCCCCCCCGCCCCTTCAGGCTCCACCCCATGGAGCGCCCTCCCTGTCCGCAGCCCCGCCCTCTTTCAGGCCCCGCCCCAACGGAGCTTCCGCCCCGCCCCTTCTCAGCCCCGCCTCGCGGAGCGCTTTCTCAGCCTGCAGCCCAGCCCTCTCTCAGCCCCGTCCCACGTGGACTGCCCGGGCTCCTCGGAGCCCCTGAGTCGTCCCCGCTCCAAATCTTCTGGGCACAGAGCTGTCCCCAAGTAGGCACTCAGGCCCAGCGCGGACCCTGCCCGCAGAGCCCCTGACTCCTCGCAGTCTTTATCCTCTCTTTTCCTCTCCTCGCCTTCGCGCCCTGGGTGGGCGGCTTATCTGGGGGGGCGGGGTGACTTAAGTCTGGGAGCCTCAGAGTCTTCGCTAGTTTATATTATTTTGGTTTTATAATTGGAGAACTTGGGCCCTCCTGTCGGATTCCAGAGCAGAGAGGGAGGGGCGATCGGAGGCCATCATGGGCAAGAGGGTGGGCAGTGCCGTGGTGGGCATGGGACTGCCCCCCCAGTTCCTCTCCTCCTGGATTGTCCCTGTGTCCTGTCTTCCCCAGGGGTCTGTGGCCCCAGCTCCTCTGCCCAGGCCTGCCTGAACTCCCTGGGTCCCTCAAAGATTTCCTCTGCAAGCTCCTCAGCCCGTATGGTGTGGGAGCACTCCAGGACACCTCTTGCTGCTTGCAGGACCCACCCAGCTGCCTCTGTGTCCTGGCCTCTTCCCCTGTGGCTTGGCTCCAGAGCTGTGCCTGCCCCCAGACCTGCTTTGTGATGGGACCCAAGACTGTCCCCAGGGCGAGGACGAGCTGGGCTGTGGTAGGAGCCTATCCCCGTAGAAGCTGAGCTGGGAGGAGCAGATGGCTCCGGGATATCTGTGCTATCCATTCGCCAGCTAACTGCTGCTTCTCCCTCCTCCCTCTCCAGAGGGGCTGTCCGCCCCTGGAGGCCCTAACGGGACAGGGATCCCCTGCCCGGAGTACTCCTGCCCCAATGGTGCCTGCATCGGATTCCAGCTGGTGAGGCTGCAGCCTTGGGTGTCCTAGGCAGGGTTGTACACTACCCGAAGGACCCTGACCCCATCCCTCCCCAGGTGTGTGATGGGCGGCCAGACTGTGAGTCAGCAGGGGGCACAGGGCCTTCCCCAGAGGAGCAGGGCTGTGGGGCCTGGAGCCCCTGGAGCCCATGGACATCGTGCAGCCGGACCTGTGGGCCTGGGGTGCAGGGTCGTAGCCGCCACTGCTCCCCTGCCAGCTCCCTGGTGCTGCAACACTGCCCTGGCCCAGAGCACCAGTCGCAGACCTGCTTCTCTACAGCCTGCCCAGGTGAGGGGCCTGGGAGATGGGAGGCCTGTGGAGATGGGAGGTCTGGAGCAGCCGGGAGAGGGGCCCAGAGGGAGGGGGCCTGGAGGGAGGGAGAGGCCAGGGCCCTTGGCCTTGTGATCCACCCACCTTCTCACAGTGGATGGGGAGTGGAGCCCCTGGTCAGCCTGGTCCCCCTGCCTCAAGCCCTGTGGAGGCACCACAACAAGGCATCAAAGGTGCCACCCACCCCAGAACGGGGGCCGGAGCTGTACCTCACTGCCTGGGAGCTCTCAGGGCACTCGCCAGACCAGTGAGTGCTGGGGCAGGGGCAGGAATGTGCGTTCAGGCTGCGTGGTGGGGATGGAGGAAGTGGGGGCCTGTCTCAGGTGACCTGTCTTGACTTGCATTCAGAACCTTGTGCTCAGGATGGTTGTCCCAATGCCACCTGCTCTGGTGAGCTGGTGTTCTGGCCCTGTGCCCCCTGCCCTGTGACATGCGATGACATCTCCAACCAGGCTCAGTGTCCTTCTGAGCGGCCCTGCAGTCCAGGTGAGGCCCGGCTGGAAGTAGCTGCAGGCTTGGCTGGGTGCAGTGGTCAGGGACAGGAAGCTGACGCTGGGTCTCCCCAGGCTGCTGGTGCCCCAAGGGGCAGGTGCTGGGCGTCGAGGGGGAGTGTGTGTGGCCCTGGCACTGTCCCTGCCTTGTGGATGGTGCCCGCTACTGGCCTGGCCAGCGCATCAGTGCCAACTGCCAGGTCTGTGTCTGCCAAGATGGACAGCCCTGGCGCTGCCGGCCCCACCCAGACTGCACCGGTGAGCTCCTCCACCCTTCCCTGGGTTGCCTGGACCCTCCTGGACCTCGGCTGGTCACCCTCCCCTTCTCCAGGCCATCAGCCTGGTTCTGGGAAGACCACCCTAGTGACCCCAGAACCTTTGGTTCCCCCTCAGTGGACTGTGGCTGGTCGGCCTGGTCCCCGTGGGCCGAGTGCCTGGGCCCTTGTGGGAGCCACAGTGTCCAGTGGTCCTTCTGGAGCCCCAGCAATCCCCGCTCTTCCGGCCATGGCAGGCAGTGCAGGGGAATCCACCGCGAGGCTCGCAGGTACGGCCGCAGCTGCAGGGACCCAGCCCCCAACCCGGCGGCCACATGGGAGCCTTCTTTCGGGGCTCTCACCTGCACCTGTGCCTGATGCCCAACCCATCTCTGGGAACCCGGCCCTTTCTACCTCATTGTAATGCCTCCAGGCCCACAAGGGGTAGAGGGAGCTCACGGGTGCAGTGACAGAGACACGTTTGGGCAGGTGTACCTCTCTGGCTGTGCCCTAGTGATGCTTGTTGGGGCCGTAGCAGCATCTGTGGTCTGAACCACTGGGGTTGGTTTCACTGAACAGGGGTTTGTACAGGTTGCCCCACTTTTGGGTCAGTTTCTTTTGTAGAGGGCAGGTGTGGGGTGGGGTTATAGGGTGACTGTCTGCAAACCCCTCAATCCCAGGCAGAGGCCTGGACATGGGGTTGCAGCGCTCAAACGAGCCTGCTCACTGGGCCAGGACTCTTCCCAGGTGCCAGACGGAACCCTGTGCAGAGTGCGAGTGGCAGGGCCGGGCCCTCCGAGCAGGGCAGCGGTGGCGCGGGGGCCCCTGCGAGGTGTGCAGGTGTCTGCACAACCACACTGTGGACTGCTCCCCCTACTGCCCGCTGGGCGGCTGCCCCCAGGTGAGGGGCGAGCGGGAGCAGGGAGGTGGGCTGGGCCTGCAGCGCCAGCCCAGGCTCAGGACACAGACACACGCCTGACTCCTGTGCCTGCAGGGCTGGGTCCTGGTGGAGGGGGTAGGAACAGCGTGTTGTCACTGCATACTGCTGGGTGAGTGGGGCTGGGGGATGGCAGGGGGGCCCTGAAGTGGGGAGGAGAGGGACCCAGGGCTGGGAGCACCTGGGGGCTGATGCTCCAGACTACGAGGCAGGAATGGGGCCCCCGAGTGGGAGGGATTCTGTGGGGCGGTCCTCTGCCTCTGAGATGCCCCCATGAGCTCTGGCTCTGGTTATGCTGGGGCTTCCCTGCTCCCCTCAGAGCAGGCAGGATGCTGTCAGACTTTCCCGAGAGCGTGGTTACCCAGTACCTGAATTATAAATGAAGCAGGAAATAGCTGAGGCCCCCAAATCAGTGCACCCGCAGGCCTAGTTCCTTGTCCTAAATGTGCACCCACAGTATGCCCCACCCCAGCCCCCTTCTGCTGAGATTCAGACAGACCCATGTAGATTGTTGCCCAAGTGTTAACTGAACCCCGTACATTGTGCTTCCACTCAGAGGCTCAAAGACATGCCCTGTTAGGCCCACAGCCCTGGATCGGGCACAGCTGCTAGGGTCTGCCCCGAGGTGGCTCTGGACAGAGAGCTTTGTTGTCTGTTCTCTGAATGTTCAAAGAAGGTGAAAACCCCAGTTCACACCCATGGAGGAGGACCCTTTCCTGCTGGAGGTGTCCCCAGCTGCCCCCCCATCCCTGAACTGAAGTCATAGGACAGGAAGTACTCCAAGAAGTCGGGGAGCCATCCGTGTCTCCCTACACAGGAGAGAACCAGACAGCCCACCCCATGGCCACTCTGGCTCCTGCTCCTACCCCCAGCCCCCAGATTGGACCCCCTCTGGCCACCTATCTTCTGCCTCCATCAGGAGGTAAGGGGGTGAACTGTTGGGGTGGGGGTGGGGGAGACTGCAATCCCAGGAGGGGAAGCAGGACAGCTGGGGTATTTGTGTTGGGGGGGCAATGGCCATTCTGTGAGTATGGATGTCACCCCACTTAAGTATACTCCCCAGCTCTGTCCTTGGATCTCCCTCCTGTCCTGGGCCAATGGTTGTTGGGGGCCCTCAAATTCCCAGATCCCACTATGGCTCCTGACTGCCCAGAGGATCTGGTCTCCCTCAGTCCCCTCCTTCTTCTGCACCCAGACCCCTGCTACTCTCCTCTGGGACTGACTGGGACCCTACATGCCGAGACCCAGCAGTCGGAGCACCTGGCCCGGGCTGCCTTCCTGGGGGCCCCCACCGAGGGGATCCCTGGGCAGGCCCACCCTGGGCCATACACCCCACCCCCTTTCCTGCAGCTGGACCTGCACCAGCCCCAGAACCTGACCGGTCAGTGCAGGCAGGGTGGGGCGGGGACAGGGGCTGGGTTGTACCCTCAGCCCTGCCCCTGCCCTGCCCCCCAGGTGTCCTCGTGCAGGGGCCGAGAGTTGTTGCCCAGGACAGCCTCAGCTTCTCACTGCAGTTCAGTGGCCATGGCCTCCGCTGGCATGAGGACCGTGAGGTTCTGTTTGGCCCCCTGCTCCCTCCCCAGGTACCACCTTTGGAAGCCCCTGTGAGCCCTCAGTCTTTGGATGGTTTGGGGGCCTGTGTCAGATGCAGGGAGTGGGTTGTGCATTGTTGGGTCAGCCTGAGGGAGTTTGGATGGGGTTTGACCCTAACAAGGGAGACAGCCTCAAGAAGCAATCTGAGTCAGGCATAGATCCGGCTGCCACCCTTGGCCTAACCAGTCTGGGGAAGTGGCAGGACCAGAACCCTGCAGCCTCCATGGGCCCCGATGGCTGGTTACAGCTTGGGTGGGTGGAGAGAGGAGATGAAGAGCAGGTGCAGTCCAGTGAGTGACTGCCATATATCCCCAGGCCTCCCCTGGGCGCTGGGACAGGCTGAGCCCCACAGTGTGGGCCTTTAGCCGGATGGTGCAGGCGCAGCACGTGCGGGTCCGACTCCAGAAGCCCCATGACAGTGTCTCTCTGCGGGTGGAGCTGCTGGGCTGTGAACCAGGTAGGGGTGGGGCTGGGGGTTCAGGAGGGGCTGTGAGCCAGGTGGAGATGCTCTGGCAGGGCTGTGAACCAGGTACGGGGTGGGACTGGGGTCCACGGCATGGCTGAGGGGCCGGGGAGGGGCTGTAGCTAGATGTGGCAGAGGGGACCGTGTAGGGAGGGCAGAAGCCCTTAGCGTCCTGTACCCCACATCCCCAGCATCCCCACCGATGGTGCCTCTGTGCCTGGGAGCTGTGCCACGCTGTGCCAGTGGTGAGCATGCCTCGAGCGGGGCCATGTGCGATGGTGCTGAGGACTGTGCCGATGGCTCAGATGAAGAGGGCTGTGGGCCTCTGCCTACCGGTGCCAACAGGTACACACCTGTGTGGGGCTGGACTACCTTCAGCCCAAAGTGCCCTGGCCCTGCATAGAGATTCCACGCCTTCGTCAAGGGTCTGAAGGTCAGGGCTCCAAGCCTGCTCCTGGCTCACGAGCTTCAGCATCACCTGGAACTTGTTGGAAATAGGGGTCCTCAGGCCCTACTCACACCTGCCAAAGTGGGGCTCTGGGGACAGGGCCTAACAGCAGTGGTGGTGGGGGGGGTGGCGGCAGTGGCAGTGGGGGGGTTGGCGGTGGTGATGCCAGTACCTGATACCCCTGGAGAACCCTCCTGAACCTTTCTCCTCTAGGCCCAGAACACTGACCTCCACCTGGTGGGGGGTCTGAGGCTGGGGGGCCCTGACACCCCCTTGGTTCTCTCCCTTCTCAGGGTGCACCCCACAGTGAGGAGCCCGGGTCCCTCCTCCACCCAGCCCGGGCCACTGGTCACCCAGCCCTTGGAGGTGAGACAGGGAGACCCAGGTGGTAGGTGGGGGGTATGGAGGTGTCTAGTGTCACTCACTGCCTCCACCATACCCGAGCCCCCTCTGTGGACCCCCTCTTCACTTGTCCTTGCTCATCGGTGTGCTAAGCCTCCTGGGGCTTAGGCTGGGGAGACGAGAGGCCCACCCAGGGCAGAAGGGCGTGCCCACAGATAGCAGTGCAGGGGAGCTGGTGGGGGGTGGGGGTGGCGAAGGCTCGGGGCCTTCCTGGGTAGGAGAGCTGGGCTTGAAGAATGGGGTGTCTGTAGGTGAAGAAAAGGAAGCAGGGAATGCATGGAGCTCCCAGCACATGCGTGATGTAACTGTGAGTGTGTGAGCGCATATAGGAGTGTCTGAGTAAGTGCTGGAGTGTGTGTGTGGATGTGTGAGTGTGAATTGTGTGAGTATCCATGTGAATAAGTATGAGGGGTATGTGTTGCATGTGTTAGTGTGAAAGTGTGTGTATCTCAGTGGAGATGTGCCTGCTTGTGTGTTAGTGTGTCTCTGTGTGAGTGTGTGTGCATGAGTGGAACCACATCCTGGCTCAGTTCTGCCTTGTGCTTGGGCAGAGGCAGGTGGATGAGGGGAAGGGACGGGGGGGAGGTTGGAGGAGGTGGGCCCATGGGGGAGTCACCGACTGGGCTGAGCCCTGCTCTCTCACAGGGTCTGGGATGGACCGACCTCTGGCATCTTCGGCAAGGGTCATCAGAGTTCCCCACAGGTATGTACCCTGGCTCCAGGCTTCCCCTGCAAGCCCACCCTGCCCATGAGTTGAAGCTTCTGGTCCCCTGACCTGTGACCTCCCCCTGATGTGAGGTGCATCCAGGAAGGAGTCAGGGCGTCACTTCTTGTGGGAGGGAACCCTGGGGACCTCACCCTGCCTCCTGCCCCCACGGAAGAGGAGCCAGCAGGTCCTCTCCCAGCCTCCAAGGTTCCTCATCTGAGCTCTGGAGAGTCCTTGCCACCAGTGGCTGCCATCCCCACACCCCAGCCTGAAGCCAGGACCCTTCAACCAGGAATTGTAGTGGTGCCCACAGGCTCAAGTGTTCATCTGGAGCCCTTTCCGCCCACGCAGTGTGGCCCCGGGCAGGTGGGCTGCTCGGTGCTGGGCTGCGTGGAGCCAGAGCAGCTGTGTGACGGACAGGAGGACTGTCTGGATGGCTCTGACGAGCATCACTGTGGTGAGCAAGGTGGGCATCTATCATGTGCTGTGGTGCCAGAGGGCCCGAGGCTCGAGGAAGCCCCGGTTCTTGTTTCTGGCTCCATGGGAAAGGGCAGGAGAGGCTTCAGGTGGCAGGGAATGAATATAAACAGCTATGAAAACAGCTATGACAACAGGGGTTTGGGGAATGGTGAGGGGGGGATTGGGTAGACCATCCGTCTGTCTGTCCATCTATCCATTACTTTCTGTCCATCCATTATTCATTCATCTGTCAATCTGTCAGTCAACCCATCCATTCATTAATCTGCCTACCCATCCATCTGACCATCTCTCAACTAATCTGTCCGTCTGTTCATCACCAGCCTACTTGTCCGTTTTTCCACCTATCCTTTAGTCTATCATCTGTCCATTTGTCCATCCGTTTGTGTTTGTCCATCCATCAGTTCATTCATTCATCTGTTTGTCTATCTGAACAACTGCCCATCCATCTATCCAGCCATCCGTCCAGTTCAAATAAAATGCTGTGCTCGAGGCGTATGGCAATCCCCAAAGGGGAGAAATTCAAGGAGAGGCCAGGGCAGCAGTGGTGAACTGCTGTTACGGCCACGCTAGCCTCTCTGGATACCCTAAGGGCTTTGACAGCTGAGAGACTGGGTGAGAGGCCGGTAGAACAGCCATGCTCTCTGCCTCCAGCAAAGGAAAGTTGGGCAGCATTGGGCATTGAAGTAGGGAGGCCGGGCCTCCCTGCTCAGCATACTCTGTCCCGTTGAGCTTGGGGTGGAGGACCCCACCTGCTGTCCAGCCAGAATAAATGACTGCTTCTCCCTTGCTCCCCAGCAGCAAGCCTCGGGTCGTTCCCGGTGTCCACAGTGGCCCTGCTTGGGTTGCCGGCGACCTGCTCCCCACAGCAGCTGCGCTGTGGCAGTGGGGAGTGCCTTCCTGCCTCACGGCGCTGTGACTTGCAGCCCGACTGCCAGGATAGCTCCGATGAACATGGCTGCGGTGCACGTGGACCCTAGGGCCTGCCTGCCACTGGCTGCCCCAGCCCGACCTGACCCCTGACCTGTGCCGTCTTGCTCTGCAGTGGACTGTGTGCTGGCGCCCTGGTCTGGCTGGAGTGGCTGCAGCCGCAGCTGTGGACCTGGTCTTGCCGTGCAGCACCGCCAGCTGCTGCGGGCCCCCCTTCCTGGGGGCAGCTGCCGAGTTGACCGTGTCCAGAGTCGGTCCTGCTTCCTCCGGGCTTGCCCAGGTAAGCCGACCCCAGCCCTCTCCAGAGACAGACCCCTGGCCTCGCTTGGGGGACCCCAGGGCTTCAGGAGGGCAGTTCCTCCTGATGTCACAGCTGTAGGCCTGTGAAGGCCATTGGTGCCGCCCGTCATCCATCCCTCCACCTAAGTGGCCCTGGGTGGAGCTCGTCCCCTGGGAATGACAGTGATCCATTTCAGAGGGCACTCTGAGGGTCCAAGGAGGTGATAGGTGAGAGTCAGCCGTCATAGTGTGCAGTTTGTATCTGGGTGCACCTCTGGGTGCTGAACCGTCCCCACCCATCTGGGCACAGCAGAGAGGTTTTCCATACTGGGGCAGCTCTTCAGCCCCCATCTCTACTCCTAGCCTGTCAGGGGCACCCAATTTTCACTCCCCACTACCAGAGGTGCCCTGTGCCACAATTCCCATGGCCCCAGCCCCTCCCAGGGACCTAGATGTCCCTGATCGTCCCTGGATGCACATCACCCGTGGGAGGTACCCCGAAACAAAGAGGATGCAGGAGCTCCTCTGAGCACTGCCTTGCTGGTGTCAGCCAGCTGGGGGTCTCTTTGGCTGCCCACCTGCCTCGGAGAAGTCGTGCCTCTTGGTCTCTACCTGGCCCCTGCACATTCCTGCTTCCCGCAGTGGCTGGGGCATGGTCTGTGTGGGAGGCCTGGGGGCCCTGCAGTGTTTCCTGTGGGGGTGGTCATCAGAGTTGAAGGAGGAGCTGTGAGGACCCCCCACCCAAGAACAGTGGTGCCCCCTGCTCAGGGGCCTCCCAGGAGAGGGTACTCTGCAACCTGCAAGCCTGTGGAGGAGGCTTCGGTAAGGGGCTGGGGGTTGGGCTGGGACGGGAGACATCCAAGGAGGAAGCCTGTGGGATAGGCAGTTGGGGCAGTCCCTGGGCCTCTGGTGGCCCCAACCCCGACCTACTGCTGCTTCCCCCAGACTGTGGGCCAGGCCGTGTGCACGTAAATGCTGAGCTGTGCCAGGAGGGCCTGGTGGCCCTGTGCCCACCCTCCTGCCTAGACCTAGAGGCCAACAGCAGCTGCAGTGGGCGCTGTCTGGAGGGTGAGGCTGATTCAGCAGGGGATGCCACAGCTGAGCCCCAGAGCCTTATCCCCACCTGCTCTCCTCCCCCGGCGCTGAGTGCCACCCATCCCTAGGATGCCGCTGCCCACCGGGGCTGTTCCTGCATGATGCCAGCTGCCTGCCCCTCTCCCAGTGCCCCTGCCTCGTCGGGGAGGAGCTGAAGCCCCGGGCGAGCTCATTCTTCTGGACAACTGCAGCCAGTGGTGAGGGGCACCTTCCGCCTCCGTGTCCCCTTCCCCACATGCACCCCGCAGACCCACGAGCACCCACGCCTCCTGTGTGTCCCCTACCCCACATACAGCAATCCCACACACACCCTGTGCACCCATGGAGGAGGCAGGCTGGGGAAGCTGGGAGGACTTGGAGGTCCTGGTGGGGATATGATCATCCCCCATCCTGACGTCATCACCCTCACCGCCCTGCAGAGTCTGTGAGGAGGGGGCTCTTCGGTATGAATCTGGGGGCTGTCCTGTGCCCTGTGGCTGGTCAGCCTGGTCCCCCTGGGGTCCCTGCGACCGTTCTTGTGGCTCTGGAGTGAGGGCCAGGTTCAGGTGTGCTTGGGGGGGCGAGGAGGGAGGGAGAGAGGTTGGGGGTTGGAGAGTAAGCAAGGGGGATGAACATCTTTGTGGGGACAGTGGGGTGTCCAGCCAGGCAGGCAGGTCTGAGGGGATGGGGTTGCTGGAGCACCGAGGGGCAGAGGAGGCAGGGGGAGGGTGGGGGATAGGAGCTCAGGTACCCATGCTGCCTCTTCCCAGGTCTCCCTCCAACCCTCCAGCCACTGCCGGGGGTGCCCCGTGCGAAGGGCACTGGCAGGAGCTGCAGGCCTGCTACACGGGGTGTGGGACAGGTATAGCCACACAGCCAGCTTGGGGGAGGAGGGCAGAGGGAATGGGTGGGAGTGGGGGACATAAGGCGCCTCCACCTGTTCCTTTCCATCTTCCCTCTCTCCAGTCTCAGGAGCCCAGTGGGACTAGACCCCACTGACCATCCCCATCAGGAGACAGGGGCCAAGGTGGCCTCCCCAGACTGGAGATGCCGGCCTAGAACTGCCTTCAGGAGATGGGCTTTGAGTGGGAAAGGGCGGAGTCCCGGGCTAGGAGGGCCTCCTCCCACTTAGAGAGGCGGGGCCACAGAGTGGACAGGGCTGTGGCAAAGACCAGGGGAGAAGGGGCCTGTCAGCGGCTGGCCAGATAAGGCTTGGCGATGAACTGGAGAGCCCGCAATGACTAAGGACAGTGTCTGGAAGGGTGTGGATATGAAGATGGGCAGGGGGCATGCCCGCGTGGACCTGGCAGCGAGGTCCATGATCACAGGTGTGGGGATGCCCCAGAAACCTGCTCAGAGCAGGGGAGCAGGGGTGGGACTCTCAGTGAGCCAGTCGGAGCAGAAGCTGCCTGGAGGCCCAAGGCCTCCCAGTCCTCACTAGCCCTCCCCTGAGCCCCACGACTCCCCCCACAAGCTGACCCTGTGATCCCCAGTCCTCATACCTTCCAGCCCAGCTTGGGCCCTGCTGCCATAGGCCTGTCCCTTCTGCCCCACTCCACAGAGGTGCCAGGCTGGACGCCCTGGATGGCATGGTCGCCCTGCAGTCTTAGCTGCCTTAGTCCTGGCAGGGGGCCGGGCTGGCGACATCGTTCTCGACTCTGCCCCAGTCTCCAGCCCACATTCTGCCCAGGAGAGGGCACCCAGGAGGAGCCCTGCAGTGCCCCTGTGTGTCCAGGTGTGCGTCCTTGGTCCTGTGTAGCCTGAAGGAGGTGGAGTGGGAGAGGAGAATGACCCCAGGGGTGGTTCTGTACATCTGGGGAAGGTCTGGGGAGGGGCTCTGGTGGGTCTGGCTGTTGTGCTTAAACTTCCCTCCCTCCCCAGCCAATCCTTGGACACGCAGCCCAGGTTAAGGGGCAGCCTAAAGGAATGTTTGGGACCATCCTGTGGGTCTGATGATCCAGGCAAGTCCTCAGCTGTGGGCCCACTGGCTTCATAGCTCTTTCCCTTGCCCCATCTCTGGTAGTGCCGAGCACTTGGGGCCCGTGGGCTCCCTGGTCCTCCTGCTTAGTCTCCTGTGGTGGAGGCATCCAGACACGTGGACGCAGCTGCTCTGGGCCAGCTGTGGGAGACCTCGAGTGCCCAGGACCCCACAGCCAGACGAGGGACTGCAACACAGAGCCCTGCACAGGTACCATGCCTCCTACACAGCTGGCCCTGTGCGGCCCCCACGCCCACTCCCCCACGCTTACAGCTGTGGTGACTGGACTGCCACTCTGCTGTGCCTCCCACCCCTTCCTCAGTCCCCTGGCCACCCCTGCCTCTGTTGAGATGCCTTTGTGTCCTGCCCAGCCCAATGCCAGGGGGACATGGTGTTCCGCTCGGAGGAGCAATGCCTCCAGGAGGGCGGGCTGTGCCCTCGGCTGTGCGTGGCGCAGAGCCCGGGAGTGGAGTGCTCAGGTTCCTGTGCCCCCGGCTGCACCTGCCCCCCTGGCCTCTTCCTGCACGATGCGCAATGCCTGCCCCTCAGCCAGTGTCCCTGCCAGCGGCATGGGCGCCTCTACCCGCCCGGAGCGGTGGCTCAATTGGACCACTGCAACAACTGGTAGGGTGGGAGTGGGGGGACGCAGGGAGAGGGGCGGGCACTGGAGAGGGGACGACCTGAGGCGGCACCGAGGCTCTCCTCAGACACTTGCATACTCCACGCCCCCTCCAGGCAGCTGGGAGGAGTGCCAGCCCTGGGAACACTGGGGAGTGGGATCCCGCCTCCCCCGTAAGGAATAGTGTTCCCTTTTGACATACGGAAATACTGAATCTCAGACAGATGAGGCCTCTTATGATGAACTCTGTAGGACAGAGTAGAACTGCCCCACGGGGTTGTAATCATTGCCACTTCTTCTGGTGAGTGGTTGATGCAGTGGAATCGCCGATGTTACGGTTAGAGCCAAGCGCTTCACCACTGAGGCACCAGGGCACCTTAGGAACCGGAAAGGGGCTTCTAATCTCTCTTGTTCCTTTTTCCTGAATGTGAGTCCTCACCTACTGGAGACCTTGAAGCGCCTTGAAGGAGCCCAGGAGCGGATACCAGGCTTGGCCAGCAGAGGGCGTGCTCCCATCCCCACTCCCCTCTTTCCCCACCTTTCCTCCTCTCCACCGGCTAGCTCTTCGGTCCTCTTCCTCTCTTTCCTCCCCCTTCCCTTGTCTCCTCCTCCTCCTCCTCCTGTCTGGCTCTTCTTTCCCCGTTTTGGCCCCTTTCCTTTCATTTCCCTCCCCTGGCCCCATCGGAATTCTGTCTTCATTCTCCCTCTGCCCCCAACGCTTTCTCTCTGGCCTTCTTTCTTAGATTCTTTTGCTGGGACCTCCATTTGACCAATAGGTTTGAAAGCATTTACAGGGAAAACTAAAAATGAAGGAGAGTGCCCGTCCTTGCTGGGGTCTGCTGTTCCTTTACTGGTCTTAGAAGTCTCTTGACATTTCCAGAAATGTCTGATAAATGAAAATGAAATAAAAACTGGGAAGGATGGTGCCCTGGGGAGCTCACAGTTGGCAGAGGCTTCTCAGGTGGTCATGGGTCACTCACTCAGTTTCTCGGGATCTGGGGGTGAGGCAGTTTGTGTGTGCCAGCCTGGGCCAGGGCTCATGGGTGCTCTCTCCACAGCACCTGTATCTCTGGCAAGATGGAGTGCACTTCTGAGCCCTGCCCAGGTACCCTGCTCAGGCCAGGGAGTGGTGATGGGTCCACGGGCACCACGGGATACTGACTCCTTCAGAGAAGATCCTGGGCTGTGGTGGTTCCCATAGGGATGTGTCCCAGTGGGCCTTGAGTGAGGCTCTGGAGGACAGCCTGACAAGGTTGCACACATACCTCCTTTCTCCGGCAGTGGCCTGTGGCTGGAGCCCCTGGAGCCCGTGGACTGCCTGCAGCCGAAGCTGCAACGTGGGCATTAGGCGGCGCTTCCGAGCACGCACTGCCCCGCCAGCTGCCTTCGGGGGTGCTGAGTGCCAGGGCCCCGACATGGAGGCTGAGTTCTGCAGCCTGTGGCCCTGTCGGGGTGAGAGCTGATGCCCACGTCCTGAGACTACCTTAAAGACCCTCCAAGGAGAAGCCAAGAATAACCCAACCCTCCACCCCAGAACCCATGAGCTGCCCTGAGAGATGGCCTGAGAGAGCCCTCAGAGCTCCTCCCGAGAGCCCAGCCCTGGAGCCTGGGGAGCCCCTGAGTAGGTGTGAGGCCCTGGGTGAGTATGAGGTCTGAGGGGACAAGGGACAAGAGCCTTGGCCTGCAGTGACCTGGGCCCACCCCCAGGGCCCGGTAGGGAGTGGGGACCCTGGTCTCCGTGCTCCGTGCCCTGCGGCGGTGGCTACAGGAATCGCACCCGAGGAGGTGGCGCCCACAGCTCTGTTGATTTCTCGACCTGTGGCCTGCAGCCCTGTGCAGGTGAGGCTGTCACCACCCCTGGCCAGCCTAGGCCTGTGTCCAGGGCCTGAGGTACCATCCACCCCTCCCTGTCCTCATCGCCCCTAAACACCCTTCTCCCCTGCTCTGTGCAGTGGCCAGAGCTGATAGCTCTCCCAGGAGGGAGCCCAGGGGCTAGGGGTGGTCATTTCTGGATCTCCAGGGCCAGTGCCTGGTGTCTGTACTGGGGACCAGAAGTGGCTGGACTGTGCCTTGGGTCCTGCCTCCTGTGCAGAACTGAGTACCCCCGGAGGGGCTAATGGGACCTGCCGCCCTGGCTGCTACTGCCCACCAGGGACACTCTTGTTGGTGAGTGGGCTCTTCAGAGGCCACAGCTGGCCTCCTTGCAACCTGTGCAGACCAGGGCTGGGGGCCTGGGACTGCATGCGGGACCCTGAGCTCTGGGGACGGCATGGATGTGAAGTCCGCTCCTTTTCTGGGGAACTGGGAGCCATGGCCGTCTCATGCTCTGGGCCTTGGGCTCTGCTGTATGGTGACGGTGGCTGCTGCAGCCCTCGGAGCTCTGAGTGAGCACCTGCTGTTTGCATGCACTGGGCAGGCTGCACTGTGGGGACGCAGGGCACATCGCGAGGAAGGCTGCGGCTAGGGAAAGTGGGCAAACACCCCGAGATGAGGCAGAGTCCTGGGCCAGACAAGATGTGTGTGCCCCAGATCCACAAGGGTGGGTGGGTGTTGGGGGTGCACAGAGCAGGGGGCTCTCATCTTGCCCACAGAGACTGTGGGTGCCAGGAGCAGGGAGATGCCTGCATCTGGGGCTGTGGGAAAGGGAAGGCCTCGTGGGCCCTAGGCTTGGTGCTTCGTGACCTGGCAGTGCATTCTGAGACAGTTCCCATTTGTAAGTGTGGGAGTGGGCGAGGAGTGAACACCGGCGACAGCTGTCCCTCTCTCTGTGCACACGGCCTCCGTTTTTACTTTCTGGAGGAAATGTGACTGATGCTGCACCTTGCAGCACAATTGCCCATTTCCCGATTTCCTAGCAGACCTCACGTTTGCCTGGACTGCAGGTGTTTGTGGAAGGTGTGGGAGGGCAGGGCCTGAGCTTTGATGGGGGGACGGGCCTGCTGGGCCCCACCTGGGAGCCTCACGCCAGCGGTGGATCTGTCGCTGCAGAACAACGTGTGCGTGCCCACCCGCGACTGCCCCTGTGCCCGTGAGGGGCGCCTGCATGCGCCGGGCAGCACCGTGGTCCTCCGCTGTGAGAACTGGTGAGACTCCCCAGCGGCCTTGCCCCACCCCAGTACAACCGTCCGTCTCCTCCCCTCCCAACCCTCGTTGGTCTTCCAGCTCCTGCGTGTCTGGGATGATCACCAACTGCACCTCAAGGCCCTGCGCGGAGGGTGAGGAGCAGAACCCGCTGACTACTGCCCTCTCCTCCCCCTGCTCCGGGACGGCCGCAGCGGGCCCAGCCCGGCCGGGAAGAGGCCTGGAAGGGGATAGAGCGCGGGACGCGGGGCGGAGGCCGAGTCTGCGGCTCCGCGCCTCACGCTGCCTCCTGCGCGCTGCGCAGCGCCGCCTGCGTGGTCGCCGTGGACCCCCTGGAGCGAGTGCTCCGCGTCCTGCGGTCCTGCCCGGCGCCACCGGCACCGCTTCTGCCCGCGAGTCCCCAGCGCGGCGACGTCCCCGGCCCCGAGCCCGCCAGCCCCTCTCTGCTCA